AAGTAATTATTTTTTTTAAATGTTCAAAGCCATATTTATTATGTTTTATTTATTTGATTATTGTAATAATAAAAAACAATAAAAAAATATATAACTTTAGTAATATGATCAAGTAGTGATAGAAGTTTCAAGCTTATTTAAAGCAATACATTTTATTTAAATTAAAAAATTATAGTATACATTGTTACTCAAATACTCATTATTTAAATGATTTTTATTAAAAAACTTGTCTATGATAATACATAGATAATATTATCTATGCATTGTATATTATATCATAATATATTGTTGACTTGGTGTGTAATTTCACATATGATTTTAAATACTCAGTTTATAGCATCATATTGTGTAGAAATATATATTTTTCTCCATTCTTAGTAGATATTAAGTGGATACCTTACACTAAATATTCTACACCTTATCAAAACAACATCAAGAAATTTTTTATTTGTAATTAGTATTTTTAATAATAAAAATTGATCACTTATGGCAAATATCTTTTAAAATTAAAACTATATTAAAAATATTTAACTCCAAAAGCCACAAAAAAATTATTAAAAAATTGCGAATATGTATTCGGAAAATGTTACCATTATCAACACTTAACAAATACTTATTTTGTTTAATTCTGAATGGTGTCAAAGCCAAAATTATCACATATCTATAAACTAAATTTTACATAGAAATACTAATATAGAAACATCCATTTAGTTAAAATAGAAAAGGAAACTTTATTAGATAATAATAATAGGTTGGATTGGGGTAGTAAAGATATTTTAAAATATACAGATTATTACATAACATAATAGAATCATTTACTATGTTAAAATTGTAAGTACAAAATACATTCACAAATTAATTACAATAAAATTAAGTTAATATCATACTGTATATTATTAATAAACAATAAGATATATATTTTTAAATATACAACTATATAACAGTTATAAAATATATTTAAGAGTCTCGTAGATTTTACCAGTACCCTAAACTCTTTTAATAGTTGGAGTTAAGTCAGGTAAATTATTTTAAATTCTGAATCATTTAAATTTTGAAAATGAATATTTATATAAATAATTTCAATACAACATATAAATGTGACACAAGTTTAAATTTATATAAACTAAAATACTTAATGAATTAGGAACTTAAAGGTGTGCATCTATTCATATATTTATAATAATAACCTACTGAAACATTTATAACAAAAGATGAAACACATTCAACTAACGATGATTTCCCAGACTTTTTGTTTGTTTTCATTTGAGATTTAGTTAGTACTAGATATGGAATCAATAGAAGTTTCAATGGGTAGCTTGTTCTAGTATCTAAATAAAAATTAATTTAAATATGATTTGTATCAAAAATTAAAATAGTAATAACAACTAAAATATACAACTAATAATTTAAAATAGATTTTGGAGATTCATACATTTAAATTTTACATGTTAAAATAGATGAACTACAGTGACTCACTTATCATGCACTACTTAATTAAACAAANTACTTATCATGCACTACTTAATTTAACAAAAAATAAAAATATTGGTTTCTTTTAGTTCAAAATCTAAAAGTTATTATTAATCATTAACCAAAGTAATTTTCTTAATTAAATTATACCCTGTAAAATAACATATATTATGAATTAACTTTTGTAAGGAAATATACTAGTGAACATGTAGATTAAACAAAATATAAATGAAAACACAATTGAAATTAATGGATTAATACTTAGCAGAGCTGTGAACTATATTTATCACTTATATATGAGTATTTCCAATACACAAAGTCTGAGGATTATTTATAATAAGTTAATNCAATACACAAAGTCTGAGGATTATTTATAATAAGTTAATAAAATGGCATAACATTTTCTTTATAAAGACTAATTTAATCCCAGGACTTATAATTATGTCTCTGGTTAAATTACAATATTATCTTTTAAAATAAAGGTGCATAAAATTCACAGGATAGATGATTAATAATTATACAATAATAACTTACATTCAGTTGTATAGTATCAAGTTGTTTTAATAAGTCATTAGCATAATTATCTTT